GCTGATTCTCAGTCACTGATGTAAGCAGACAGTCGGAGCAGCGTCTCAGTGAACACAGTGTGCAGGTCATTTCGTTAAAAGAAGCAGCTGGCTTCATGATGGGATCATCAGAGTCCCACCCTAAATAAAATAAATCACATGGAGATGAGAACAAAAAACTCAAACAGAATGCATTTGCTACTTTTCTGGTTCAGTTTCCAGACTCGGTGTCTTTTACAGAGAAGCTGACAGTTCAGAAAGTTGCAAACGGCTCATTTCTGTGACAGAATTTTGTTAAAATGGAGGCGACGCCATCCAGCAGCAGGTCGGATGAGGAGGAACTTTGTTCTTCTCAAACATCAAGCAGATGGCAAACACTGGAGTCAGCTTTGTGTCGCTGTGGCATCACAAGCTTCTCTCTGCTTCTGCCTTATTGCTGCATTTTAAATATTTATTAGGCTGCAGCAGCATCTTCTCACCCAGTGAACAAAGGTTTTTTTTCTGTTAGGATGCTTGAATAACAATGAGAAACAAGAAAAGAAACAAAACCAGGTGATGTGGAGGACTGCAGACATTATCATTTTGTTTCGACCTAAACATTAAGTTTCATGGATACATTTAATTTATTCAGTTATGACTAATGGTCTGAATCAGGCTGGTGGGGCAGTTAGGGGCAAATCTCAGTCTTTCTTTATAGAGCTGCAACACATTAGACAGCTGTTCTTACCGCTGTATGCGCTGCGCAAAGGCTGCTGGAAAACACAAATGTTTTGCTGTTGACTTTCCATCTAGATACCGCTTCCTGCATTCTTGTTAGTTGTGCAGGAGGCCCTGCTTCTGCTTTTCAAAGACATACGGCTGCATAATTTCACATTTGAGACCCGAATACATCTCAATCAAAATAGGCAGAATCAGCAGATTAAAATCTCATCATGTTAAAGTGATTTTGTGCAAAAATGTAATGAACATATTCTGCATAGACTATTGACCTATCCTAACCTGTTCAAAGAAATATAATAAGTCATCCTTAAAAACAAAAAGTGTTGGTATTTTTGATATTTTGATTAAGCTATTGTTATTATTATTATTTCTATACAAATGTGAATCTTTCATTGTTACCAGGAAATAATTTTAGGGTGTTTCTACAATTACGGTGAATCATGGTTTGAATTTTGTACTCTGTAGCAAAGAAACGTGCTAAAACTGAGTCAAAATTATATTTTTTCTAAACCAGCCGGAGCTTAAAGCTGGACGTCCATCACAGAGAGTCGCGCAGTTGGAATGTTTCACTCAGAGGAGACGACGAGCCGACACTCTTACCGTGAAGTCATTCTTTATTAATGTCATTTCACTGAAATCAACTCTGACGCTCCGCCTCCGCGGACGAGGCATTCACTATTCGGTTACAGTAAATTTAGAAGAACAGAAAAAGTTAACAGACCATCAAAATTGAGAACCTCAGTTAGCAAATTAATTTTAAGATATGAGATCAGCTGGTAGGAAGAAAATAAAGAATGTTTCAACACTTGTTTTAATACAAATAGGAATCAGTATGAGACAAATATGATTTACTTTTCTAAAATAAGATGCAGATCTGTTTTTAATTATCAACATTGAAATGCTTCATATAACAGTATGAACACTATATGAGACGTGTTTTAGGGTTTGAAGAAATTTTTATGCAATAAATCAGAACATTTCCAACCTAAACAGAAAAACATGGCAACATGTCACACTGTTGTACCAGAATAACCTGCTTAATGTTATGTATAAAAAAATGCAGCAAAAAGTGAATGGAAGAAGCTAAAAGTCTCACTTTTTAAAATAGTTAATCAGATTAAATTTTAGTCATGGCACAACAGTCCAATTCAGTAAATTATGATATTTTTGAAAAGCGCATTTATTTTACAAACTTTATCACCAAGTGAAACACATTTAATAGATTAATTACACACACAGATTGATGTTTAAAGGCTAATTATGATGATTTTCCACTTTCAGATAATGAAAACATGAAGTTTAAAATTAGAATGTTACATCAGACTTTATTTTCACAAAAAAAAGAAATATGAGTTTAATGAAAAGTATGTAAGTTATTTAGCCATTCAGCTTTATAAGGTTAATTTGACTGTTTTAGAAATAGCTAAAATGTATGCAGTTCAATAAAACTAATATAATTTTATGGTGCGTTTGTTGTACTTTGATGAAACAAAGTACAGACGTCTCAAAACAGTCTGACGTGTAAACCAATGTGAACTGAGTTACGCTTTGCTCAACTAAACACAGAACATGGAAGAGAAAACTTTCCAGGCCGAATCCACCGTCCTGTAACGATTGGACCAGACTGGATGTCAGAACTGTTTTCCATGGCAACCACAGACTTTCTGATTAATTAATGAAACCTTTTACAACATCAGCTACCATTTTTAATCACCCCTGACTCTCCACCCAGAACACACACACACACACACACACACATGGCAGTAAAAAAGCGAGCTCTGTGTGAGGGAGGGAGTATTCTCCAGGCTATCTAAATGGCTGAGCTTTGGTAGAAATCAATGACACGGGCGTCATAAAAGGAGCGTTTCTTTCCATAAAAAGGTTTGAGAGCATATGCTGCTGCCTGAGGCCTTGTTTCTGAGCGTGAAAAGTCATCACTAAAACATTCAGCACAGACGCACCACAACTAGGCCAAAAGTTTTAGAGCCCCGCTAATTCTGCCGCAGTTAAAATTAGAAGAAACCCTCAAACTCTCAAACCTCCACGCAGTCAGAGCTTCATCAGAAGTTCTCCGCTTTGATCCGAACGCAGGTTTCTCTGATCTGCCAGCACACTGAGGCAGACAGCCTGACAAACACCTTCAAAACAAACAACACAACATGTCACGACAAAGAAACGCAGCACCAGAATGTGAACACACACTTTGAAAAGCCTGCTGGCTCATGTTCATGGTTTAATAAAGATTTCTGAGTGAGATTAAGAAACAAAAAAATGTCTGGGAGTCTCACAGTCACTTTTACTCTGAGTGACGGAAACATGTTTTTATCTGTCTGCTTACTGCAGGATCAAACAATCATTCCTCACTGGTGTTACTGCACCACATCAGCAGACTGGAAAACATAACATGCATGCAGGAATGTTTAGACTTACATATTGATCATATTTGACCAAATCAGCATTTTGTGGTGTAAAAATATTGAGTTTATTCAGCAGAAAAATCTGGATCACCTTTGAGCCCCAGTTTGGAACTTTGTACATCTGAATAAAACTATCTGGTCTGCTGCATCTTACCGTGATGTAAAGTTGATACGATTTGAATAATGTGACCAGATTATTTAAAACTTTTGAAGCAATTTTAAAAAGTCATGAATGTTTAGAGTTTTTAATGCTAGATAAAAATATGCTTTCTGAACCCATTAGTCCATTTTGTCCAGAACTACTTCCACATTGTCCCTCAGCCACTGTCGGCTTGCTTCTCCTGAAAGTAAATCTGTTTATGGAATTTATAAAATAATTTATGAAATTGTTCAAAATCAGATTTTTTTTTTTGCAGATTATATATTTCACCCTATTTCCAGTAATTGTGCTTCTAGATTTTTTGTGTCCATACAATCTCCAGTCTTTCTCAAACTGTGGTTCACAGACCACTGTTGGCCCGCGGGCGCCGCCTTCAGGTCCGCAGGGGAGCGTGAGCTCAAAGTGCGCCGGGACAGTTAGCTTGCAAAAGAATTGTGTTCAAAAATAATAACGGATAAATAGATTAAGACCAGAAACTCAAAGAAAAGCTGAAGATACAACAGATCCACATGGACACCTTGTCCATATTCGGCCTGCATGCGTTCTGCCTTGGTTACGCCTCAAAACATTAAAGCATTTATGTGCAACTTTTAATTTGTGTTCTTAGATTACTCACTGAATTACGGCTTCTTGCTTCCTTTCTGATCCAGAACTCATTTTCTTGTGGATGATGACACTCTGAGCTGATTGAGCCTGGCCTTTTCCATGATGTTGCATCTATTTGAGGTGTTGCCTTACAATTCATCCACAGGTGTGCCTCTGTTTACCTTCAAGGCTAGGAACTAATCAGAAGATTTCAAAGGAATTACATCATCATCTGGGTTATCCTCATTTGTCTAAAGGAATAGTAATCTTGGATAAAGTACAAAAACCCCAGAGATTCATTATGAATCTTTATGAGCGTATCTTTACTTTTTGGTTGCCTGTTGTTATGATTTTATGAGTCCATTTCAATGTGATCCAAAGGTTACTATTCTCTAAAAAGTTCATTTTGACTTTGTAAAGTGATTGATTTATTTACAGGAAATCTGGATCTTTGTGATTACATCTCTGTTTGTCATCACAAAGTTTGAAAACTCATTTATGACCCACAGCGACAACAAGACATAAAAAAAGACATTTTGTGTATTTTCCGTAAGATTTTAGGATTATTACGGGATTTATCTTTTTTTTAATTCAAACTCAGTCCGTCTGCTTCCTCCTCTCTGTTTCACTTCACACATACGGTTCCCATAAAGTTCCTGCGGTCTGGTCGGAAGCGCGCATGCGCAGTGGCTGCAGCGTGTGGTTGTGATAGTATTGTGAATGAGGAGGGGTGGAGGTGGGGTGGGGGCGGTATTTTGGTTGTACAGTCACAAGAGCGACTCGGCGGAGCCAGGAAGTAGACTGATGACGCCTTCAAGCTCCGGCAAAAGTGTCGTAATTTTCAACACTGACAGCTGCGGAGAAGGTGCCACAAAGGAAACAGGCAGAGGAACTTTGTGGCTCAGGCTGATAACAAAGAAGAAATGCTCTTGTTCTTGTTGCTCTCAGTCATGTGCAACATAAATTATTCATTTTGTTTATTTTTCTTCGATAAAGTATTTTAAACAATTGCTGCTGTGATACAGGACGAATAAATGTTTAACTTTTGTTTTTCTCTTCCATGATAACCTGAAAAATCTTTCAGGCGTAAAGTTTATTACTTTAATTGAGGTTGACAGTTAATCCTTAATTAGTCGTTTATTCGTGCGTAAAAACCATTTTTACGCGCGAATCCAAAGGAGAAGAGAATCACCCGGAAAGCTGCAGGTAGACCTGAGAGAGAGCGCTCGTTTGCGGCTCAAGATCAGGCGCTCGTCAGAGACAAGAGGAAAGGAGGGAGGAGGAGGTGGAGGGGGAGCCTAAAGGCCAAAGTCAGCTTTATGTGCCGCAGCGGGTCACTTTCTGCGAGCCATTTGGAGCCAGAGGCGACCCGGAGCGCGCAGGAGCCGCATCAAACTGAGGCAGACCATCAGTCCCAATCACTGAGGCCAGCAGCAGGGAGCACATTGCTCCACATTGGGAAGAGAGAGAGAGAGGGGAAAAAACAGACAAACAGACACGGAAGAGAAGTGAGAGAAAGAGAGAGAGAGACTGAGTGCGCGACGATCGGCAAAAAAAAAAAAAAAACGCACTGTGGAAGTTTAAAGTGTGCGGGATCAGGAGGAAACAGGCTCGAGTGGCCGCGCAGGGTCGGAGAAGATGCCGCGGGTTGTCCCGGACCAGAGGAGCAAGTTTGAGAATGAGGAGTTTTTCCGCAAGTTAAGCAGAGAGTGTGAGGTGAGTGAGACGGCGGAAATAAAGAGAAGAAAGGCTGAAAGCGGCGGGCAGAGCTCCGCTTCATCTCATCTGCCTTTATTTCATCTCTGCACATAAAGTCAGGGACAGGTATTAACTCACAGATGCTTCACAAACGGTGGCTGGATTTATGATTTCTCAGTTATAGATTACATTTTTCACATTTCTTCACTCTTATAAGTTCTTTTTTAATTCAATTTTCAGGTTCAGTGTTTTATTTTTTGTACAGCTTGAACTTTTTTATTTTAAAATTTTCGCTGAACATAAAAACACAAAACCCAAGATGTATCCACATTTTTACATTAAATTGTTAATTCTCCTCCCATAAATAAGGATTTGTGAGTTAAATTTTGCATGTTTGGGGATGAATGTGTCGTTTGTTGTGCAGATTAAATACACTGGCTTCAGGGACCGGCCCCACGAGGAGAGGCAAGCCCGCTTCCAGAACGCCTGCAGGGACGGACGATCAGAAGTCGTGAGTCCAAAACTACTTTCATTTAATTCAGTGCAATCAAGTAAAGACGGAGCTGGATGGTTCTGGTGACTGAGCGCCATTTATGACAGCCAGCAAAGAGGAAGCAACTCTGCATGTTTGGATTTGGAGCCTGCAGAGGCGGTGCTAGACACAAAGTACTGGGGCCAATCAAGTCCAGGCTCTCATTTACTTGCAGTCAATAAGTTACAATATTATTAAAAAGTGAATATATTCCAGCAACTCAGTCGCAAAGTGAAACACTTTGGCGTTTTCAGTGGCGTTTTCAAGCCTTTGTTTATGTTAAATATGATTTAACATAAACATAAATGGACTCAGTCCAGCCAATAAAAACTGGCATTTAAAATTCAAATATTACATGTAATCTGCCTTTCTAATGAATTTACAGCCTTTATGAACATAATTTTCCTGAGTTTTAATTTACTTGAATTGAATTCCAACACGGGAATACAGCGTTGTACTTCTGATAAAGCCTGAGCCAAACAGCAGAGGGAAAAACTGATGCAAAACTGACTGAACATCACAGATATTCCACATAATTCAGAATTTTTACAATGAAAACCGTTCATATTCTGCTGTTTAAAAAATCAGTATGAACTGGGATTGCTTGCTTTAGTTGCAGACTGAAAATACGGCATAATCCAGTTGAATTTGGAATGAAATCTGAATTTTAAGTTTAAAAAGATATTGCCTCAAAACTGTACCTTTTCTGGATAAACAGTCCAGTGTATAATTCTTTAGTTCTTGTTCATTCAAACACCTGATCTAATAATAATCTTTTCAGACTACAAATGAGGCTGCTTCTTCTTCAAATTTGATCAGGAAGTTTCCTGTAAAATGGTTCTGAGATTACAGCACACGCTGATAAAATACCCTGTCAGAATAAAACTGATTGCTTTCATTTTGTGTAGATTTTAATCAGTATTTCTGAGTAACACATCAGTTTAACCACGAAAAGACACCAAACTATATTAGCTAACCTCAACAGATTATGAAGATAATTTTTCTTATCTTGAAATAAAAACTGCTGCAGTGAAATCTTTAAAATGTTCCAACACGGTGGCGAGTGCGTGTTTTTTCCCTGGCAAACACGGATGCCATCCATCCATCGTCAAAGACTGCCAGAGGCGTAAAGAAGGCAAAGTTTGTTTTATACTGTTGCTAAACAAGTTGAAGCTGGATACAAACTTGAGATCTTGCTCCAGCACTGAAATATTCTCAACCACAACTCTGACAGCTATTAGCTTTTATTAAACTTATATTATTTATAGTACAACTCATTCCTGCGCTGGGAGGATGACAGCTGGCTCAACCAACACCTTTGGTAAAATGTTAACAAAACTATTCCGGCAGCGTTTTGAGCATCCGTCCACAAACTAATGTATTAAATTAGAAAATAAATGATTTTAATGGCTTGAAGGTAAAACCTTTTTCATATCACTTTGAGAAGCAGCAAATACTTTGTTTTATTTAAATTAAACAAACTTCTGTCAGAACCTTGAACCAGGAGGAAGGAGGGATTCCCTCCAGCTTTAGCTTCTTATCTTCATCTTCTCCTGTGGTGCTCATCATCCTCATCATCATCCTCATCATAATGCAGTTGGTGGAACATGTAAACATGTATGATCACACACTAACATGTTTTATTTTAAAGCTAATGTGGCTTTACCCCATCATCTTTATCTATCAAGCACTTTCTCTGCTTTATGTGACCATTTCTGAAAATGTAACTTCGTAAATGCTGCATATTGGAGGCGAATCCAGTTCTTTGGTTTGAGGGTGCTTCACCAGAATATTGGTGCTTTTTATTTTCACTTTGCAGCCAGCAGATAGCTGCTGTCGTTGCAGAGAAATATTTAGTGGCAGGAGAGACACATCTGGGCTGAATCTGCCTCCACCATTTAAAAACCACAGTTCTCTCTGGTTTCACATGACGCCGATACGAAAAGATGGATGCTCTGCTCGGTCTGAACGTTCGGCACCAGGAGAAATATTTTCCTAAGGGAGCGCCCTCCATCACTGTTTAAGTGAATCAAATGAGAAGAAGCAGCATGTCTGTTTCCAGCTGACTGCAGGTTCTAGCAGAGCAGGTAGCCTGGCTAACTAACCAGCTAATATCAGACCTTAGTTTCCTTATCATGTATACAGCAATATGCTAAAAGCTAAAAGAGAAATTTAATAGGGTTGTTCTGAATGTTTGCTGAAGTTTGTGTTAAAAATCAAAGTGATTAAATGTTAGATTTGACATCATGTTTAACAAATAATTATTAACCCATTTACACTAAATTTAAAAAATAGTTTCTGCCATAAAATTCATCCAAACTCTGAACAATTATACATATTTTTAGTGCAATATCAATACATATGAAGTGCTATATTTTTAAATAAGATACCGTTTAGTATCAGCCGATACCTATAAAGAAAAACATTCTTGACTTAAACTGTTTATTTTTTTTAAACACACATATAAATATACTAAATTACAAATTTACTGATGCACATAAATTCACAGAAATTTACAGATATTAATGTCAGATCTGTGCATCTTTATTTCCAATATAAATGGAAATAGTTTATACTTAATTAAGAAATTAACCGTTTCTTAATTAACCATTAAGAAATGGTTAATAACATTTCTTTTTGCTGTATTTTTTCCCTCTATAGCTGCTATTTTTAAAATTTCATTGTGCTTTCTTGTGCAATAACAATAAAATAATTATAATTCTCTAATTCTAATAATTGCATTTCTGCTTTAAATTGAATTCATATGATAGAATTTTGATTTAAAGTTTCAAATAGTTTAAATTTTTGTTTACTTACTGAGAGAATGTCATAGTTTATAAAATAAACACAGAGTCACCGACCTGCTGCAGGACGGGTCAGCGGGGCGTTTAAGGTGGAGCGGGGGGGCTTGCACCATTTTTTAGAGGGACATGATGCGTCTGCTTGTCTGTATTTATAAACCTCCAGCTGTGACATCATGCTGCAGATTTATCTGTGAAGTAAACACGGTCAATATTAATTATAGTCAGACAAAAAGTCTGTGAAGGATCAATTTATCTGGACAATATCGGGGCTTTATTTACTGATTTCAAAACAAATGTGGTGAAAATTTCAACGTCGTAATAGATTTTTTTTTTTTTCATTTATTTTGACCCAATTGCACCAGCAGTTCTGCCTGAAAGGTTTGATGATCATATTTAGTCAAGACAAAAAATGTATTTGATTTAAACTGTTGGTTTTATCAGTTATTTGTTTGATCAAGTGTTTTGTTAGATAGGATTCATTTCTGTTATTTATTTACACAAAATATTAGGTTTGTAACAAATTCTAGTTGTTATTTACACTGTCACCTATAAACTAACTTGATGCTGTTAAATTACTTGGACGTGTCTTTGATTATTATCATCATTATTTGACAGCAGCAGCAGCAGCTCTATAATTTACCCTTTAAAGAGGTTTTCTAAGGTTAACAAGTCAAGACAAAGTAAACAAATTATGCATTATTCAAACAAAAATGTTCTAATAAACTTCACCCAAAAATATGTTTTACTGGAATCTTTTAGATTTTTATTTTTAATCCTTGTCTGAGTTTTTAAATCCCACAGAGACATCAACTCAACTTCTCAACAAATCACTAAGCTTATAAATCCAACATCTCAACATAATGGATTCCTCAGCAGTTTATAACGGAATAAACTGCTGAGAAAACTTGAGTCAAAGTGAAGTAACCTTGGACAACAGTGACTGCAGCAGTCGAGTCATAATGACTAACATTCCCACTTAATGCTCAGGTACTGTAACAGCAACAGTAACGTACAGATCTGCTCCTCTGCAACATCCGTCACTTCATTCAAAGATATGGAGCAACAATCATAATGATAATGACAATAAACGTCCAGAAAAGAAAACAAAATAAAGATCAATGACGAAGCTCTGCATCTCAAACTCAAATTCTTTCCAGCAGCTTTAGGATGTTTTTCACTTCAACACGTCTGACTCAAACTGTTAGCTTGTTAGCACGGCTCTGAATGCTAAGGAGGCAAATTAACTGTTTGAATGAAAATGATGCTCTACATAGTTAATAAAAATACAGGAGTGATTCATCATTTAAAATGAAAGCATTCGAATCACAAAGACTAAATATACAATTGTTAAATATTGTAAAAATATCAGATAGTAAAATCTAAAATAGCATCAGTTTAACCGCTGTATAAATAAGCAGTGACATATTTAGTGGCAGTTTTTACTGGATAATTTCTCCCAGTGAAATATTTGGAGCAGTTAAACAGAGCAAAGAAAACTTTGTGGAAATGTGGGATCCATAAAGTTACAAAATTATCCACTGCAGGTTTAGGCTTAAAGTCATTTTTAATTTTCCAAACATTTTTTTTCTGATTGGACGAAATATTGATGATGACTTGGATGTGAAAGAAAATGAGAAATATTTTTCTCAGGTTTAATGAAAATCTTTAAATAGAATAAAAAAAATTTCAAAACTGATTGTCTTTTTATGTGATCAATTTCATCTTTTAGGTGGAAAGAGAAGCCGAGTCATGCAGAACTGGTCACTGTCAGTGTAAATCAGCTCATTCAAAAGTAGCATAATTATTACTTTTTGATTCTTCTTCCATCCCAATGATATCAAGATTCACTGAGGTTTTATATACTGATATGATGAGAAGTTATACCGAAGTTTTGATATTTAACAATGGCTTAAAAACAGAAATCAGGTTAACAAAATGTTGTGTTGACATGAAAATTGTTTATTACATGTTCATAACTACATGGCAGCATAAATATATAACTCTCTAAATGCTTCAATCAGCTTAAATATAAACACGACTGATTTTAGTTATAATAGATAATTGGATTATGGGTTGAAATTGCATGCAAGTACGATTCAATATTAAACATACTTTTTATTGAGCTTTAAAATGTATTTTTTTTTATTTGTTTGTTATGATCTCAGAAATATAAAGTTTGAAACTCGTGTTACACTGTAACGTGTTTCAGTTTGTTAAGGAGTTACTGAAATAAATCATTCTAATATGAAGAATTTGACTGGATAGAAGTGAAATGAAATCAGAATAAAGCAGAACTATTGATGTGAAATTGGTTTGCTGTATTTGCAGGTTTGTGTTTTAAACAGTTTTCCTGCTCCAGACGCACACAGGAAGACTTGAGTGTCGGGACTCACAGCCTGGCTCTAAGCGTTCAGGATTGATTTAATAAATTGAACAATAATTTGAACTAAATTATCTTCAGCTCAGCTCATTAGAGATGAGTCGCTTTCTAAACTATTATTGATTGCCATGATTCTGTGCTCACTCGCGCCTGCTGCCCTTCTTTTATTTCATTTCCTTTCCTCTCTTCGTCTTTTTCTTTCCATTTCCTCTTTCTGTTCCTATTCACCCTTCCTCAGATCCAGTTGACTTTATTTTCCAACCTTCGTCCTGCTTCATTTCATCCCCTTTATTTTTATTCCCTTCATTTTCCCTCCATCTCTCCTCTCTCTTTCCTGGCTCTCTGCTCCGTCTCATTCTTGCCAGCAGTAGTAGGCAGCAAATTAGAATCAGATGGTTGTAATCCAATACTTAAAATCCAGCAGAAATGATGACTCGGGCGTTCTTTGAATTCGAACCCTTTAATTTCTTCTCCTCTGTTCAGTGTTGTTCTGTCCTTCCTCTGTTTTATTCACTTTTTCCTTCTCATCCTCTCAGTCTTCCACATTTGACAGGGTGCATAATTCATATGCTTCCATCTTCAGTCCCATCTCTAATGCCCTTAGTATCGATCCGTCTCAGCAACATATATCACACGCAAAGACAAAAGACATACAGACACAGCGAGACCGAGAAAAACTCAAATTCTCTAATTGGATTTGCTGCTTCTCTGTAATTTATCGCTTCTTGACTGGCGGACAGACATGCTTTCTGTTGCCTTTCTGCTCTGAGCATCTGGAGAGAGATGCATCTCATCATGGCACAAAGCCATCGTAAAGAAATGAAAGGAATGGCGAAAGCTGCTGTATGATTGGATTATATGTTTGTATGTGTGAGTGTTGAGGAACGAAAGCAACAGTTTCATTTTGTGAGCAGCCAGAACCACGACTGGACACGTTGCTTTTTTTCTCAACAACGCTCCGCCTTTCAAAACTAGTCACACTAATTTTAAGATTGAAGTCAGAATATGTTTTTTCAGTGTTCCTCATTCTCATCCATGTTATTATGAGAATAATTAAAAAGATGAGAAAGATGTTTAACAGATAGAGTGGCTGCACAGTGCCACAAACATTCACATTTGAAATCAGCTTCTTCAGGATGACTTTCACTAAAGAAGCATTATTTATGTCACTAAACGTCACACAGTAGCTGTATTTAATCATATTTTTGAATTTACTGGTATTTAGTGATGCTCTTGTGAAACAAACTGAGGGTAATATAGTAAAATCATCACCTGTGGTAATACTCTTTTTCATTATATTTGATTTATTGGGCAATAAATCAAAATTCTTGTCCTGGTCAAGTTTTCAAAATAACTGATAAACAATAAAATCCATCATTTCCAGATCATTCATGAGTTATTATTTCTAGATGAATCCCAGATGTGAGGAATCATTCCGGTTCCTCTCTCTGTCTGCAGGCCTTCGTGGCGACAGGAACAAACCTCTCCCTGCAGTTTTTCCCAGCCAATCTTCATGGCGACCAGAGGCAGGTGCCATCGCGGGAATACGTCGACTTCGAGAGAGAGACGGGAAAGGTAGGATGAGTGAAACACCAAAAACTCCCTCTGCTCGGTTCTGCATGTCAAACTTTCTCACACTGGAATATTTTGAAGTTGCTGAGACAAAAAGCATTATTTTCTATTTGCAACTTTGCTTTCATTTCCTGTTTTCAAAGAAATGAAAATGTCACAAACTGTCCGAGCAGAGAGTACTTTGCAAAAGTTTCAGACCATCTCCTAACCTCTGTGATATTTAGTTTCTAAGGTGCCAAATTTTCTTGGCGTTTTAATCGTTTTCAAAAGTTCTTCAGCTTTTCTGACACCCGGTCAGTGTTTGTAAGTCCAGTCCTTGGACCTGACAGTGACAGCGGCGTTCTGGGTTGGTTCGGATCTCCAGCAGCTAGTGGGTGAAAGGTTGTGCAGGTCTTGGAGGAATCGTCACTCCAGCACAGACGCAACACCAGAAACAGACAATCGTTCACATCAAAAAGCAACGCAGAACTCGCAACACACATAGCAAGCAAGTTTTTGAATGTTGAGGGCAAAACTGGAGAAAATCGGTGCATATTCAGAAAGAGCATGAAAAATCCCCTGTTAGGGAATCAAATCTGATCTTCTGGACTTCACGCTGTGTGCGTACACTGCAAAAATGTTAAATGGTATTTTTGGTCTAGTTTCTAGTGAAAATATCTCAGTACACTTGAAATAAGACAAAACTAACTTGCAAGTAACTTTTCAGCAAGGTATCAAAGCTTGTTGTAAGTCAATAATTACTTAATATTGTTGAAAACATTTTAATTCCACTTATTGCTTCAATATTAAGGAATTATCCATGTGAACGCAACTCCTATATTTTGTTAGTTTTGTCTTAATTCAAATGTTCCAAGATATTTACAGTAGAAACTAGACCAAAAATACGTAGTAAGGTTTTATAGTTTTTGTAGTGAGTCACAATAAAAGAAGTGTCAGCTTAAAGTATTTTCTCCAACAGATAAACAGAATCTGAAATTCATTTAGTGAAGGAATATAAATAAATCTAGAACAGGACTTGATGCATCAATCTTCTTCTGATTAGCAATGCTGTGCCAAGTTTCCAGCTAGCAGCGCTTTGGGAATCACCTTGTTGGCACTGCCGTCATATTTTCTGTCAGACTGCGTTGCACTGGAGATTTTTAATAGTTTCAAATCAAATTAGGAAGAAGAGCTCTCAAAATTAATTTAAAAGATTGCAAAGGAGTCCAGTCTAACTGGAAACAAAACATGAATATGATTGAAGATGTTGGACTTCACTGCACATCATTAACTTTTTCACTGCACATCATTCACGTTGAATGAGGACGGTCCAGGCTGTTTGTGGTCTGCATCGGGTTTTGGACACATGAGACTTTATGGGGGGATTTCTGTGGTTCCTCCTGATTTCAGACCCAGATCACAAACACAAAGCCTCACTGCAAAAACACAAACTCTTTCCAAGTATTTTTGGTCACCTTTCTAGTGCCACTATATTAGTAGACTTGAAATAAGACAAAACTTACAAACAACTTTTCAGCAAGATTACAGGTGCAGTATGTAAGTTTTATTAAAAGAATATATGTTTTTTACATCCATCCATTTTCTTTGACCCTAATGGGGTTGGGAGGGATGCTGGTGCCTATATCCAGCGAACTTCGGGCGAGAGGCGGGGTCACCCTTGTTTTTTTACATATTTGTTAGCAGTGTACACAAGCTTTATTGACAGCGTTAAGACCCTCCCCCTAATTCTGATTGGTTGTTTTTGACTGAAAGCTGTGCATTTCTTCAGACACCAAAAGTAGCTTAAGCCCCTACATCTTTCTGAAATGTCCTTGTAAGTGCGTCTTATATTTTTTCAGGTGTTCTAAGATATTTGCACTAGTAAAAATACAGAGTAAGATTTTGTTTCTGTTTCAAAAGCTTGAGCAACGTAAAGGTTGCTCAGGGTGACGCCCACTATTCAGTAGATCAGAGATGTTGCATTCATTTGCATGGTAATTGTCTCCCCAACGTGTGTGTGTGTGTGTGTGTGTGTGTGTGTGTGTGTGTGTGTGTGTGTGTGTGTGTGTGTGTGTGTGTGTGTGTGTGTGTGTGTGTGTGTGTGTGTGTGTGTGTGTGTGTGTGTGTGTGTGTGTGTGTGTGTGAATGCGCCACGTCCACGGACACTGGCCAGCTGAAATGAATGCCGACTGGCGGCTCATTAAAAATGCATTCTGAGGAATCGATGGACCTCCATGGCCCGAGGCTGACTGACTAATCTCAAACTGTTAATTATTTAATACCAGTGTGTGTGTGAGTGTGTATGAATGTGTGCTGGGCATTGCTGGTGTTTACCTGTGTCAGACAAAACGCAGAAAGAATGCATGTGTTTGAAGGCGGTTTGTTTTTGTCACGTTAACGCTGCTCACAGATGCATAAAGTTTTAATGAGGCCAGGAGACGTCAATACCAAGACGTTTACGACTCCTTCTGCTGAAGTAGACTAAAGTTCCTGCTTCTGTTACTCACACTAACTTCCACCTTTCATAAGTGTACTGAGAGTTGCATCCATTTCCATCTTTTTCATTACTATTGTTCATATTCCACTTCACAAAAGCGACAATGTGGATTCCTGAAAGCAAAGATCTGCTGGGTGGGTGGAGTTGGGCGATGCTGTTTAGAAGAGCCTTTAATTGTGTAGATTTTCTGCAGCGCTGCTCTATCGGGATCTGGTTTCACACACACTGATCATGATCCCTGTGGACCTCCTGCAGGAAGCTACTGACAGGCCCAGGAACAGATACTGTGTTCGTCTGCAGCTTCTTCGCTTAATTAACGTCACAACTTGAACTCGTTAACTGATGCTCACACCTCGGATGCTGGACATTACTTACTTTACAAGTTGCACTTAAATAACTTTGTGCTGTGTGTGTCTATGGAGTTTTGTTTTAATCCATTAGAAATACAATGAATGTCTCATCAGGAGGCATTCGTGTGATTCCATCAAATTAATCAACATGTGTAACTCCGTTTATTTAGACTGTTTCAGGCCAGCAAATGTTTCGTAGTGTGACTATCTGATTTCAGTTCGATCTAACATGTATATTATTGAACAGCAGACTCTGCAGAGGAAATTTGGAAATGTGCAGAGAACAAAACGTTTTTTGTGTTTTTATGAATCTCAGTTGGAGAAAGAGTTTATATTTGACTAGGGGGCAGATATTATAACTTTATACTTCTTTCTGTTCTTCTTTTCATACAAACTAAAATGAAATGAACATTAAATAAGCTTCATTTTTGCATCGTTTTTATTTTTCTTTTATTTTGTTTTAAAATGTATTTTTAAAGAATACTTTCTACAACATATTTTGCATAAACACATTGCAAAAAACACTAAATCTTTAGTATTTTTGGTTTGGTTTCTAGTGCAAATATCTTAGTACACATAAAATAAGACAAAACTAACTTACAAGTATTTCTTCAGCAAGATATAGGAGCTTATGTAAGTCAATAATTCCTTAATATTTATGGAAAAAGTGGAAGATTAATTCAAGACATTTTTCACATGTTATAAATGAAATAATCTTCTGGAACTAGAATTTTTTTTGTATAAATATTAAGGAATTATTGACCTAAAACAAGCTCCTATATCTTGTTGAAGAGATTCTGGTAAGTTAGTTCTGTCTTAATTTAAGTTGACAAAGATATTTCCACTAGAAACTAGACGATGATTTTGTGATTTTGCATAAACATCCACGCCTCGTGTGTGTTTGCTCTTCCCGTCTTTCTACTGCGATCTTTTCTCTGATTTGTTCCTGTTCCCGCCGTACATCCCCCACTCCCTCTTTCTCTCAGTCATCCCTCCATCCCTCCATCCGCTCCCCTTCTCCCCGCCTGCATTTCCAAACACAGATGGTGCCAAACCAGACGGGCAACCCAGCCAGGTTAGACTTGGCGACTGAATATAAAGTGTGTGTGTGTGTGTGTGTGTGTGTGTGTGTGTGTGTGTGTGTGTGTGTGTGTGTGTGTGTGTGTGTGTGTGTGTGTGTGTGTGTGTGTGTGTGTGAGCTCTGGCTCCTTGTGTTGTTGCAGCTAATGGGAGCCAGCTGTGGTTCACTCAGAGCTCGCTGCTAACGGGCAACTCAACCTTACAACTGCAGAGGACATGAACTGAGGCACCAGAAGCTGACCTGCAGCGTTTCGCTCACCTTTAGAGAATCAGAGAGACTTTACGGAATCAAACCGGCGCTCTAATAATGACTCTCTGCTACACTTTCAGTTTTAAAAAAGTCACACTAGCATCCCAGTGGGAAATCAGTTCCCAATGACGTACACAAATAAAATTAAGCAATTTTTCTCAAAAAACAATAAAGGCTTGTAACTAATATCTTCCATTAAGACAGAGATTTATTAATCCGTCCTAAAATCACTCCATTAAATAGTCCAACTTGTTATTTTGCTTATGATTTCTGTGGTTTTTAATGTTTTCCGAGGAAAAATGTTTTTCATTCCTAAAAGAAAATGAGAGTCGAGGAAAAGGAATGTGATGATCGTGGCTGTTTGTCTCTGAGACATAAGATCTGCTTCTGCTGCATTTATTGGACGACGGTGGAAACCATAGCAAGTAAAACATGGTAAATTTAAATGTTTACATGTTTTCAGCTTCATTTAGTGCCTTTTTAAAAATCCTTTTCTGGCGTCATTTTGGTTTTTCTTTGAGTGGATGAAGGTTGGATTTATGTGAAGCTGCACTTAATGCATCCCCAAAGGTTTTTAATGTCATAAGTTAATTCAATTAACAACTTTTTTAAAACAAGGCGTTGAAGTTAAATAGTGGAGCATGTAAAGCTGATTGCTCATCAACCACCAAGAATCTCAAACTTTGCTTCAAATTTCATTTGGGTACATGCACTGGAAAATTTGGTTTCAATTATTTCCAAGGTAAATACAATGAAAAGTACTGGGATGCATCTCTAATGGCCACCAGGAGCCAATAGATGAACTATTTATGATCGTTTCATGTCCTAGTTCCAAAATTTTAACTAA